AGGAGAAACAAAAGAAAGAGACTTAAATCGTGGATCCATTAAAGATGCTAAAAGTCCAAGATCCTTGGTATCTGACCTTCACTTTTCCATTGATTTTAAAATACTATTACAAATTTTAATAACAGATTGATAGGTGAGTTGTTAAATATCATTTTGCATATGATTAAAAAGACCTTTAATTGTAGGATAAAAAATAGATAATGTTGAATAAGTAGCACCACTTAAAAATTTTGTAGCTTGAAAAAATGGATAAAGAATAAATACTAATTCTTCAATACCACTCCATTCATCTTCTGTTAAATATAAATTAGCTAAATTATTTCCATCTTTTCGAATTTCTTTATCATTATCTTTTTGCATCGCTTCATATAATAGCTGAATTGCTTATTTTAATTTAAAGAGTCTTTCAAAAACTTTATATGTAGAATTCCATCTCGTATCAACATCTTAAATTAGTGCAAGTGCTTCTTTGGTAGGTTGAAGAGCTTTTGAATTTGTAAAAAACAGCTTTGATATTTATCATGATGAACAAGAAAAATATTAAGTGCCTTAATTTTTTTAAGTAATTCTTGACTAAAATCAATCTTTAAACCATCAGAAATAGCTAAATGAATAGTATGTGCACAACAAGAAATATTGATAATTCCTAATTCTCTAAAAGTTTTAATCATTATCACTTATACCAGCGATGATTCTTTCTCATAAATTGATATTCCAATGATCAAAAATATGTTGTAGTTTTGTAGCAATATTGATACCAGTATGATTATATGGCATTTCCTCAATAGTAAGTAAAACTTGTTGAAGTTCAAAATCGGCAGTTATCCAGTGAACAGTTACACCAATATAAGATTTATGAAATCCAGTCCATAAATCAGTTGTAAAACAAATTTTATCATAGTATCATTGAGTAATTTAATTAACATTTTGCATGAAAATTCTACACTTTGTGCAATCATAATTTTAATTGTATTATCGCAAGGCATTTTATAACTAGGACACAGTGTAATGCAAAAATTTTTGAATTTTTCATTCTTTAGTAAAACAAATAGTTGTAAATCATCTATTATAAACTCTAAAAGGTGGAAATTTGTTTGCTCCTGCTTGTTTTTTGAAAGTGATTCAATTGCAATTTCTTCAACTTTTTCAATATATTCTGTTTTGTTTTTATTTGAGTTATTGGTGTATAAGATGAGCATGACCCATATGATAAGCAAAAGAAGATGTAGCAGAATTCAAAGAGAGACTTGTTTTACATCTTTCAATATTGCATTTTCTAATCCAGCTTTCTTCATCCCTGGTAATCCAATTCCATACCCAGCTTGTACAACATTTTTGTCTTTTTTTATTAGGTAGTCTTGATAATACTTGCTTATCTGTAATATTATTCCTTCAGAACGAATTTTAAGTCGTTGATTTAAAAATGCTACATCAAGTGAAGGAGAAAGAGAAGGTAACACCAGATTGAAAATATTAGATTGAATTGAGGTAGAGATAGAATCAGAGTAAGAACGTTTTCTTCCTTGTAATAACTTTGGTTTATTCATCATTATTTTTGATGAAAGTTGAATTTTAATTTTTTGTATTTTTATAATATTCGTTACTATTATATTTTATAATAGCTATTAGTTTTATAGATCGATAATTAACATATTAAAGATGCAAACCTTACCTTCCATATTCATAATATTTAAAAAACTTCAAACAAAGAAATTTCTAAAAACAAATTACTTTCTAGTTATAAAAATAATAATTTATTAATAATATGTAAAATTCTTTGAAAGGAAAACAACAATGATAAAAACAAAAACATTACCTTTCATATTCATAAAAAATTTTCAAAATAAAGTATAAACCAAAATTAAGTCTTAAAATTTAAAAAAAGATAAGTAATATAATAATTTAATTATTTAAAATAATAATCATTAATAATATGTAAAAATCTCAATTATTAAAACAAAACATTACCTTTCATATTTGTAGAAAATTTCCAAATAAAGTTTAAAATGACATTTGTCTTAAAATGTGAAAAACAAAGATGATTAATATAGTAATTTTATTATTTAAAAATAATAATTTACCATAAAAATATCAAATGAAAATTCAAAATGAAAATCTAGCTGTAAAATAATTTGGCAGAATATTTTGAAAATTATCATGCTGAACATAAGAACCTTTTCAAACTAATTAAATATAAAGCGAAAAAAAACTTTGGACTTAATTTTGAAATAGTTGGCGTATATTTGAAAAAGAGTCACTACCAAGAAAACCAAAAAGGAAATCAACTAAACCTATTACTTGAAAAATAAGGAGCATTATAAAGATATTCAACAATATCTAATTAAGCAGATTAAAAAGTTTTTATCTACAATCTTAAATAAGAGTCTCCACCAATCCAAGAAACCATGTAGGAAAAAAAAGATACTAATACCATAGAAGATAATTTAATTATTTAACAATTAATATTGTTTAAATTTATATTGTATCATATGATAAAAATTACAACTGCGGTTAACTAATTAACCATTTTAACCAGTTAACCAATGATTAATTATTAATGCTTAATTGGTTATGATCACTAAGTAAAAAATATCTCTGCGGCTTCAAAAATGCTTTTTTACTATATTTTCTTAGTAAAAAAACGTCACTGAAGCTGTGGAAGCGTTTTCTACTATGTTTTACTAAGTAAAAATAGCATTTTCGAAGCCACGAAAACGTTTTCTACTATGTTTTACTTAGTAAAAAAAGCATTTTTGAAGCCGCGAAAGCATTTTTTTACTATGTTTTACTTAGTAAAAAAAGTATTTTTGAAGCTGTAAAGGCGTTTTTTACTATGTTTTACTTAATAAAAAAAGCATTTCTGAAGCTGCGGAGGCATTTTCTACTATGTTTTTCTTAGTTAATACCATCTCTAAAGCTTTGGAAATGGTTTTAATATTGATTCAAATCAAATCAAATATTTGAATAGTTGATTTGAATTTAATCGAATCGAATTAAAGATTAATTTGGATTTAATCAAATAAATGATTTTTTGATTTGAATTTGATCGAATCAAATCAAATATAAATTTGAATTAGTATTTGATTTGATTTTCAAATCAAATATTTAAATATCAAATCGAATTGTAGAATCCTATCTAATATATCATATATAACAAATATGTCTGATTTATCTAATATGTCTTATTTGTCGATTATGTCAGATATATTATATATGTCAGATATATTAAAAATGTCAAAATATCAGACATATCATATTTGTCAGATTTGTTGATTATTGCGTTATATAGGTCCTGTTACATTTTATCTGTTTATATTATTAATATTTAACAAAAAAATTTTTTTTAAACTGCTTCCTAATTTTTTTAGAAATAAAATTTTCTTTTAAATAGAAATATTATTTAATACAAAAGATCAAAAAAAGGTAAAAGTTGTAGGATTTTATGTATGACTTATAATTATAATTTAATAGTAGACGAAAAAACTAAAAAATTATTTAAGTTAGGAAAGTTAAACTAAATAATAAGCAATCATAAAGTATAAAAAAAATATTCTTATTAGTTTCTTTAAAGTTGTAATTTGCTTTCTCTTCAAAAATTATTACTAAGGTTTTATATTTTTAAATCATATTTTATAATAAAGAATTTGCTATAAAAGTACAAAACCTTTCTTTTAACTATGATAGACTACTGATTTTGAAAAATATGAATTTGCAACTGCATAAAGGAATCACTATTTATTAGTTAATGGAAATTCATATTTTAATACTAATTTATTAGCTTTATTATTTAACTTTCTTAATATTTAGATGTCAATTTAGTTGAGAAATCCATTTTATTATAAGAAAAGAATAGTTTAAAATAAGATGTTGGTTTTTGAAAGAGATTTGTTTTAAAAATTCTTCACCTATACATATTATTTAATTTTCTCACTTTTTGAATGCTTTTGAATTATTTAACCTTTATTTTTGATAAATAGAAAATTACTTACCTTAGTATTGAATATGTATATAATCCTATTATTAAAGGTGATGTTTAAGTCTTTACCATCTTATTCAATATGAATGGTGATAAGTATTTTTTAATAAAATTTTTATGGAATTAGATGAATGATATCTTAATTAAGTCAATTAAAAATACAAATTCTAATATGACATGTTTACAATTATGTATAAATATAGATTTTCTATTTTAAAAATTATTGAAAATAGTTAAGAGAAGATTTGATCTGATCTGATTCAAAACTCTATATTAAAGTCATATAGAATATACTTTATGCAGAATGCATTGTTTAACAAATTTTTTTTTATTAATTAATGATCTGGATATGATCAGCAGTAATTTGATATACCATTTTAGAATAAATTATTACAGATCAATTAGAAATATTAAAATGCTATACAAAAGTCTTATATAGTAAATAATTTAAATCTATTTATTTTACATTAAAAACCACATAATAAAATACAAAAAAGAAAAGGTATAATTTATATATATTATATATAAATAAAAATTTTCTCTCGTTTTCAAAAAGTTTACTATACATGAATATCAGATTCCTAGGTAAATTTATTTAATTGCAAAATTTTAAAAGCAATATAAATCCATTTTATTTATTTATTAAGAAAATCTAGAAGGTTTTATCTCATCAAGAAAACGTAATACTATGAATAATCATGAAGTATTTATTATCCAGTTTAAAATTATTGAAACTTTTGGTATATTATTTTTAAAGATTTCTTCTTTTGCTGTTTTTTTTAAAAGCTCTTTATACATCTTATTAGCATTTATTTTAACCGAAGATTAGCTGTACCAGTGTGAAACATAATATTGAGTAAATTTTTAACATTTTCTATTATTCATTTTACTAACTTTTTTTGATTAATTTTCAAATTTTTCTGTAAAATCTATTCACAAAAAAATGTAGTAATACTAGTAAAATAAAAAAGTGTAAGCTTGTTTTCTAAATTATAATATCAAAATTAAAAATTTACCTTTTTAATAATAAATCAATATTAATTCTTTCTTTTGATAAATCAAAAAAAATCCTTGATGTGTTCTATATCCTGCTTATTTATTCTTTCTATATAATAAAAGAATATTAAATTAGTAATTTATATTAAGTTTGATTAAATATTATTTACCTTTTCTTGATGAAGAGTTTGTATATATTGTAAAAGTTGGTATCAGTTTTTCAAAGGTATATTTTTGGTAATTTTATCAATCTAATTAGATGAAAAATTATTTCATTTTCCAAATTCTGATAATGCTCAAATGCATATATATCTAGTATTCTCTCATATTTCAGATCAAACAAATTCATATCAATTTGATATTCTACTTATTGTTTCTAATTTTTCTTTTCTATTTAATAGATACAAATCTTAAAATTATTTCTAAAAATAAAAAATAAAAACATTATACTTACTTACCTCTGTTACAATCTGGCTCAATATGAGATATATGAGTACTTGCAATATCTTTGATAACATTTTAAATATTCTCACCTTGTTTTATATTATAGTTTATTTTTATCTATCTTTTTATCGCATATGTAATCTAAAATTATGTAATATAAAAATTAACAATTAATCAATTAATAAAACAAATAATAATTTCATACTTACATATAGGGTTCCTCAAAATCGAATTGAATCAAATATTTAAGCAATCTGAATTTGATTTGATTTTTTCAAATCAAATCAAATCAAATCAAATCAAATCAAATCAAACTCAAATATTTGATCGAATTAATTTGAATCAATTTGAATTTGATTGAATCAAATCAAATCAAATCAAATTGATCGAATCGAATTAAATCGAATATAAATTTTTTTTTAATTTTTACAATAATATATTAAAATAAAATTATTTTAAAGTTTTAATTAAGAAAATTATTAGTGATTGCACTAAAAAATTTCAAAGATAGCTTTTATAAAGTAAGTTAAGTAACAGGTAAATTTTTACTATTAAACTTAGTAAAATAACTCTGTGGTTTAAGAAAACTTAGTAATAACTGCCATTGCAGCTTTAGTTTTACTAAGAAAACCTAGTAATAACTGTCATCTCAGCTTCGTAATAATTTTATTAGTAAAAAACGTTTCTGAAGCTGCGAAGGCATTTTTTTACTAGGTTTCTTAGTAAAAAATATTTCCAAAGCTACGAAGGCATTTTTTTACTAGGTTTCTTAATAAAAACGTCTTTAAAGTTACGAAGGCATTTTTTACTATATTTTCTTAATAAAATAGCATCTTTGAAGCTGCGGAGACATTTTTTACTATATTTTCTAAGTAAAGTAACATCTCTGAAGCCGTTGTTACTGGCTAAAATTCACTATTGAAAAGCTGATCTACAAAGAATTATTAAATGATTTATAGAAGTTACTGGAATTAATTTTATGTCAATCACAAATTAGAAGATCTGCATAATTCTGGATTTTGATGATTCTTAGGATCCACCCCTATAAATAATATGTATAAGGAAAGTATACGGAAATAATACGTTTAAAAAACGTATAATAAACGTAGAAAAAC